TAACAACTTCTCCACCAATATTCTCTTCCCAACCAATCACAACTCTCCCCCATTCACTTTTCTCACATACCTCCACTACTCAACCAATCACAACTCTCCACTATTCATTTCTATCTAGCTACTTTCTTAATAACCGTGTTCAATTTTAAAAATGCTTATATTCTGGGACGGATGGAGTAGTATATATGATTAATAATAATTAACGAAAAATTAACCAACTCACTGCTTCAATCGATTAATTTTCACCATACAATTAAGTAGAACCCTTCTGACTGATCCAGGATGCGGTTGCTTATCTTTCGTCAGTTAAAAATGTGCTTGATGTTCTACATAAATTTACTAGTGCTCCTTAAAATGTAAACTTAATTCTGACCTAACTAGAAACGAAAAAAAATAAGGAACGTATATGTAAGTAGCATAAACTATATATATTTTCATCCTTGCTTCACCGTATAGGCACAGTTAATTATTTCGTTAATTCAAAATTATATGAACCAGCAAACTAATAATATTGTCAATTATATATTCCCATGAACTAGCACTAATAAATTTGTGTTTGAACAAATTAATCTGCAAGACGACTGCAAACCATATTTAAAAAGCAGGATATATAAGAAAGCTCTAAATAAAAACGCCAGCAGGACTGCAAGTAATTTTTTTTCTTTTAGTTAACATATATATACCTTATAGTTTACTCCATCTAGTCATAAACATTTCTAACTTACTCGATATAATATTTTATTAAACACTACCGGAGAAGTGATCTTTGCTGGGTGGTGCAAAAACACATTAGTCCTGATTTGAATAGGAACCGGGACTAAAAATCATCTTTAGCTCCGGTTGAAAAGCCCAACGCCAACCGGGACTAAAGATCATTTTTAGTCCCGGTTCAAAAGACGCCTGGCCCCCTACTATTTTTAGTCCCAACCGGACTAAAAATCCATCCGTAGTATATAATCCCTCGCACTTATCCTCTAGCAGACTCTTCCTCATTTTAACTTCCTCCACTCTTTTCTTATCCTCTCTCTCTCTCTCTTGCTGGGCTGCGCAGCGACAGGCTGCGGGACGCGCGGTGACAGGAGTCCCCGCTTGCGGCGGCGGGCTGTGCGGCAGTTGGCGGCGCGGCGGGCAGAAGTGGCCAATGTGGATATGTGAATGATCTGTGAAATTTGTGATTTGTAAATTTGCGATCTATAAATTTGTGATTTGTTGATTTGTATGTGATGTCTGTGGATCTATAAATTTGTGATGTGAATCTGTGGATGATTTTGTGATTTTTTTTTAATATGGATGATTTTGTTGTTGAGTTCGGTTTGAAATCAATATGCCAAGAGCAAAAACACTAAAAAAAAGAAAAAATCAACCGGGACTAAAGATGGTAGCGCCAGCCACGTGGCACTACCATCTTTACTAAAGATAATTTTTAGTCCCAGTTATTTCACCTAGGACTAAAGATGGATTCGGGGTCCCAGTTGTATACCCGGGATTAAAAGGGGTTGTGAACCGTGAGTAAAGATGGGTTTTCTAGCAGTGAAAACTCTTGAAACTTTCACAATCAATTTTCTATCAATAAGTTTAAATCATCTAATAAGTTTATGACATATTATTTATGATAGTACATTTGAAAGAAAATCTATAGATATATCATGTTATTTTCTGTTTAAATTACTAGCTCCCCAATCCTTCCTGGATCCTATAATAAGCCTACCCGCTCTGTTTCCTAAGCACTTGATCATAAATTATAGATGATCAAAGATTTAATTGACCAATTATCTAAACATCAAATATTTATAACCAAAGGAATTAATATGTCGTTATTGTTATGTATATTTAGTTCATTTATCTATAATCTTCCATGAATTAATCACCCATGTGATCGATGAATTGAAGTATATTTAATCCAGTTGAACAGTTCGATGTAAAAGAAAATTTGCACTGGAAATTCTTTACTGAATGAAACCAAGAAGAAGCAGATGGTCGATCGATCGTGCACGAGTACATATATGATATGATAAAATGCGTACGTGGTTAGTGGAAGAAACAGTGTGCCTACAGATTAGCACCTGCGTCTCGTCGCTGTCTAATTTGTAGGCTTGCATGCTTAGCATATCACTGTTAATCACTTTATTTTCTAGCTAATTAAGTACAGCTTCGCTTGTCCACTAGTTTACAGGCACATCGCACTGTACGCACATACAACAAGGAGCTACCAGCTAGCTCATCCTCTCCTCTCGATGAATTCCCAAATTAAAGTTCAAAACTGATGGGACACTTGCATCATTATTTTTAATCAAGCTTTCAACACCGTTAATTAATCACTTCGAATCAAGTAGGGGCTGATTTCTTTATGCATAATATATATAGAGAATAGACCAGCATCAACATGAGTTTGTGGTAGAGCAATAGATATATAATTATACAGAGATTTTGGATGTAAAGAAACAGTTCGAGAAAAGCAAACCGGTACTCCTGTTCAATGTGCATGAAATGATAAATAATTCAACACGAAACAGTATTCCATGACCATACAGAAAAATGTCGCAATCATCAAGCTGCAAATACGGGATTGACGCGTGATTGATCAGTTAAGAACCATAAACTAATACTCAAATCACAAAATCTTACACGATTCTTTTTAATTCGAGAATCAAATTAACTACTCCAGCTAGTGTGTCTGTTATTCTACTGAACGAGTAGTGAACTTTTTAGTAATTTGCACGCGCGATTAAATTAGTAATAAACATGCAGTTCCCAAGGCCACATACGCACATAGAGAAAAGGTTGTCTGTAACAAACTTGATCAGACACGCACGAAAAGAACAGCGAAGGGTTGCAGGACACATGTAGATCATGAAATGACACCATTGAATCGAGAAGTGAAGTGATCATCAGTGAAGTAGTAGTAGTAGTATTAATTAGTATTATATTAATTTATACTCTCCATTTCATTTAAAGTGTACTCATGAGTTTATATGTCCAATATTTGACAATCCGTATTATTTAAAAAAAATTATGAAAAAATAAGTCACGCATAAATTTCTATTCATGTTTTATCATCTAATAACAATAAAAATATTAATTATAAAAAAAATTAAATATAACGGATTGTCAAATGTTAGACACAAAAATCTATAACTGCACTGAAAATGTAATCGAGGGAGTAGCTAGGAGAGAGACAAGATTAATGCAGCATGGGTTTGAGGGCCCTGGTTTTGCTCATTTTGGGTATGGTAGTCATGCGTCCCGATTTGGGGGGAGAAAGGGCCAGCAAAGATTCCAAAATGGTCATTTCATGGCTTCAAAAGAAAACACAAAACAGTAGTCAGCTCATCGATCTGCAGGGTGTTCATGATCAAGCCATGTACACTAGCTTGCATGAATGCATATCGATCCATATCATTTTAAATTCACTTGTTGTGAAGTGAAATGATAAATAAGGTGTATGGATAGGCTTGCACACGTGAAGCTACTAAACAAATCCCCTAAAAATTAAAATAAATATGCCCTACCGTGTGGCTGTCTGCATTTTATATGGAGTTGTGTACATATATTTATGCAAGATATAATCATTTGTTTCAATTATATATTAGTAACTTTTGTGCAAAGCCATCTCAGCAATTTGAAAAGAAATGCTGAATACCAATCAAAAGGAACAAAAGAAACAGTTATTATAACTAGAAACTAGCTGGGATCAGGTGCATTATATATATGTAGACAAACATCAAAAAAAAAACATCTAGCTAGTTCGGTTGGCCTTCGCAAAAGCTTGCATTGGGATAGTCCTTGAATGTTAATTACATTATATACGAGCTTTCTCTGTGTTTAAATGTAAAATCTGGAACTAAACCCATGTGAATTACTATCTTAAATGTTTAGTTTATTTCCTAATTAAGTTCCAAATCAGGGCATGGTGATACAGTTTGATCATTTTTCATCCATTATTCATTAATCATAAACGACCCTTTGTTCTACAGACATATCTTCCTTTTTCAATCCTCTTCACTTGGATCTTTAATTCCTAGCTAGCTAGTGTGCCTACATATACATGTACACATATACCACACTAATATGACCTACTAGGTCATGTTATCTGGTTAGTATTTCAATGTTACTATAGGAATTCAGTTTCTAATTAAGTTCTAAATAATCCTCCAGTTTCAGAAAATTCTATGAATTACAGTTTGTTAAAATTAGTTACATGTATTTCAACAGTGCTGTGTTTCACCCCTTTTTGTGTATGTAGAATATAGAGGCATGAACTAAATGAAAAGTTTAAAATCATATAGCTTCCTAGATACTCCACTAACTTATCATATATAGTTCTATACCCTACCTATCTGAACAAATCATAGTTAAAGCATTGTTCTAATTCCATTGCTAGATCTTTGCCCGATCTAAGGGAAAAACTTTGAATTAACTAAAACGAAACTTCTTTATTTTACTTCCCACATACTTCATCGATTAGCTTATTGTTTCTCCAACTACCCATATATAGATCAATATATCCAGGCTAATTTGAAAGAAAGGAATTAAGGACCAAGAACAAGATGAAATATATCTATTGCACTTTGCAAATTGGCCTGATGAGTAGGAATCAGATCGAACATAGAAAAGACCATATATCTATATGGAAGTAAAATAGAAGTTGTAAGATAGAAGCTGTACATAAAAATCAAATAGATTTTGCACATATTTGAAACAAGTGGGCCCATTTAAGAAACACCTGAGATCAGTTCAGACATATCTTGATGCAAGCAAAATCATATCAATCAACAAATAATAGGAAAACAAATTAAGAAACAACTAAGGGGAAAAAAAGGACTGCCACTAGTAAACAACAGGGGAAATCCGAACAGATTTGCAAATCAAAGAGCTGCAATTGACAAATTAAATGTGAATCAGAATAGAGAGATTAAAATGTTAGGCTGAGAGCTTGGCATTTGCACTACAAGAATTCATGTCATGAAACATCATCACCACAAACCAACTTAGCTTGAGCATCAATTCCAACAAAAATTTAACTAAACAATCACTAACTTAGACAATAATAATTGATTTGATCAATTTATGAGTGCATGTCCTCACAACACATTCCAAGCAGCAAAGACACCTGACTGAAACAATTAACACAAGTACTCTCATACAGGTTAACACAAAAAACATCACGAAAAGATCACAAAGACAGACATCACAGAGATCGAACAAGAGGAGAAAAAGATTCAGAGATAAGAAAGGCTACTTGTTGTTGTACATGTCCATGTCCATGTCTTCAATCTTGCCGACCACCTCGCCGCCGGCCGCTCGCCGGAATATGGGGATCCATCCATCATGAGAACGGTGGCCTCCCGACGCCGGCGCCAGGCCAGCCGGCGTGGCCGTCCACCGGCATTGGCGGCATCCCGAACGGCATGTTGAAGAACGGGAGCCCACCGGTGGCGGCGCCGCCCGACGGATCAACGCCTAATGGTGGCATGCCGCCGCTGCCGCCGCCGCCCTGGTCGCTCCCTGCCGGCGCCGGGGGGACCACCTCGTCGCCGTCCTCGAGCGGCAGCCTCTCGTACGCCACGTTGCTGAACGACGCGGCGACGACGACGACGGGCCCCGCCGCGATGAGCGCGCCGGCGACGCTGCCACCGACGACCTGCCCCTGCCCGCCGGCGAGGAACGCGGCGAGGCTGGTGGCGCCCGGCGGCGCGGGCGGGGGCAGGAAGGAGCCCGCGAGGGAGAGTATCTCGAACCTGCCGTGCAGCGTCGCCACCGCCGGCGAGGCCGGCCCGGGCTGCGCCGACTGCGGCTGCCGGAGCGTGACGTTCGCCACTGTCCCCGCCGCCGAGAGCACGCACACCCCGCGCTGCCGGCGGCGCGCGTACGCCGTCAGCGCCTCGAACACATCGCAACCGGCGGCTACCTCGAGGATATGCGCCCTGAGCGCGTTGGCGCTCTCCCTGGTGATGATCACCGGCGGCTTGGGCTTGTTCTTGGAGCCCGGCGGGCGGCCGCGGGGGCGGCGAGCGACGACCTCGCCGCCGCCGATCCCGGCGCCACCGGCCGTGCTGCTGGGCCCGCCGCCACCGCCGCTCCCCGGCGAGAGGTCGTCGTGGCCGCCGTCGTCGGAGCCGGCGCCGCCATCGTCGTGGCGGAGATGCAGTGATTGGTGGTGGTGGAGGTAGCTGGTGCCCAAATCAAGGCCTGCCATCTTCTAGGGTAGGAGAAGAGCTAATTATAAGTAAGTAAGGAGTATAGTAGCAATAAGGGAGTAAAAATAATGGCTAGATAACAGTACCGATATTATTAATAATTCGATATGCAAGTGATGATGATGATGATGATGATGATGATAATAGGAGAAGAGAGGAGAAGAGAGAGAGAGTGTGTGTGTGTGTGTGTGTGTGTGTGTGTTTGTTTAGGGTTTGTGTGGTGCTTGTTTTCTTGGAGGAGAGTAAACAATGGAGGGAAAAAGAAAAGGAGGAGGAGGTGATAGATGGAGGGGGTTTAGGTGAATTTTCTAACAAACTTGTTTATCTTTGCAGCAGCTGCTCATGGTGTTTGCTCATGTGGATTTGTGGCTTTTTTTTTTTTGACAAGGGAAAGAAAGGGCTAGCTAGGAGGTGCACAAAAAAGGCAATTGAGAGATGGGACAATGAAGGTGCAGGATGAGGAAGGAGGAGAAGATGAGAGATGGAAGCCAATGAGAGAGAGAGAGAGAGAGAAGAAGGGAGAAGAGATCAAGAGAAGGAAGGAAGGAAGGAGAGAGGAAGTGATGGCAAAGGGAAGATGAGAAAGGGATAGGTTAGTGGGTCTTTGGAGTTGATGGCAGCAAGAAATATAAAAACATGAGATAGCCAGAGAGAGCATGGTGCAATGGCTTGGCTAGCTAGTGCATGTCACTGACATGTGGGGACATGTGATCATGGGGCCCAATTTTCAGTTACAGATTAAATAAACAATGAAGTGAATGGGAGTTCTTTTCTTGATAGAGAAGGAGGGGATGATACAAACGTTGATGCTTATGCACGCAAGTGGGGGTGGGATTAGTTTAATGGTGCAAGTTGTGGGCTTATTATATTAAGCCCTAGACCAAAGTGTTGTGCCATTGGGTTTGTGCATTCAGACATTGTTTTTTTCTGCTTAAGTGGGGGGCATGTGGGACTACTATACTCTCATCAACAATCCTCTCTCTCTCTCTCTCTCTCTCTCTCTCTCTCTCAAATGCATCAACATGAACATGTGTATGCATGTATGTGAGTGTGACCTAAACTATTCCAAAGTGCTATTCATGGCTTGCTAGAGTCCAGGTTGGAATATGGGTCGTTGGGCTTGGGGGGCTAGCTACCTCCATGATTTGGGTGCCAATTAGAATTAATGGGATAGCTTAGGTTAGGGTTTCCTAGGGTGGAGGATGGAGGCATTTTGACCATTACAGTGAAATGAATATAATTGCCCTGGTTCTCTCTTTCAGTACCTTGACAGGCCAAGCAATTAGTGGAACATAAATACAAAGTTTATAAAGTTATGTTCCTCTTGTTGATTGACCAAATTAAGGTCAAATGTATCATACATATTGGTGGGCTTTCTGACAAGTCGTATCTTAGGAGATTCTCATAAACCAAAAACGGCCAATTCTATAGAAAAAACAATGAAAACAATGTGTGGCGTCTCGTTGTAGACGGTTTACATGTAGCTATTTATTTTGTAAAAATATACTCTCTCTCCGTTCCAAAGTTAAGTACAAGAACTGATAGCACTTGAATATTATTGTTTCATAAGAGTATAATACTTTGTGTACCATTTTTTGTTATTGAGGAGCACTAAATTTTTTTAATTAACCTTCTGCTAAATATATATATAGTTTAGAAATCCTTATATTTTGAAATGGAAGGGGTTGCATTTCAATATAGCAATAGATACTATATCGGATTTGTTTAGAATTAGGCATACGTCAAAGCTACAGAAAGATCAGCAAAGACTTGAAAAGGTAGCTTGGCAACCTAAAAGCGTGTAAAATGTATTTAAAAATAATTTATATATGAATACAATATAAGTTGAATGTTTTTAACCAACATATGTATATATGTATATGCTGCATAGTCTTCAATAGTGATGTTAGCATTATTTAAGTAAGTCAAGGAGCTCGATTGTACTCCATTCAATATACTGCGTGCATCTTTCTTTGTTTTTTTCCTTTTTGAAACAGTATTCTCTTAAGGGCAAGTGTAATAGGAAAAATCTGCTTACTATTAGCCTGCTGATATCAGTGTTTGCATTGTTGGGAGAAAGAGGGTGTGAAGAGAGAGAAAAGCGGTCGACTAAATTGTCGACGGCTCAGCATGGATGCCTAGGCATAGCGTGCCTGTGAGCGATGCTGTGATTGGTGAAAAAATTAGATGAGAGAAAATTCAGATGGGCCCATATAGAAAGAGCTTCTGTGATTAATTGGTACTCCCTCCGTCAGAAAATAAGCGCAGTCATAAGTTTCCGTGTCCAACTTTAATCATTCGTCTTATTTAAATTTTTTTAAAAAAACTAACAAACATAAGTCACGCATAAAGTACTATTCATGTTTTATAATCTAATAACAATAAAAATACTAATCATAAAATAATTTTAAATAAGACGGACGGTCAAAATTGGACACGAAAACTCATGGTTGCGCTTATTTTGGGATGGATGAAGTAAATAGATTAGGAGAGAGAACAAAGGCTTGGCCCACATAGAAACAAAAATTAATGACTCAATTAATTTTTATATTATTTTTAGTGATATGAAAATATCATGTAGGCGTATAATAGATGGTTGGTTACTCTCTTATTAAACTTGCCATTAGGCCGGTCCCAACTCAAAACACTAAACATAGTTTACATAAACTCCACATCATCAAGAAACTATACTAGACAATGTTCTTTCAATGCAAACACCATTGTTACATACTTAAATTTAATGCACTTATCTCACCTGATGTTTTGGATGTTGTGTAGAAACCATGTCTCATGCAAGACCTGATTTCCTTCTCTTTTCTTATTTATTCATTTATCACATTATTTTTCATTCTAGGTGATAGCATTTTTAAGCTATGGACATTATCCCAGTCATTAGGTTAGGATTGGCCTTAGGGGCTGTTTGGTTCACTCCCTCACTTTGCTAAACTTTGTCACACTTTCTAGGATACTTGTTTGTTTCACTTCCAAAGTTGTGGCATGCCAAAGTTTTTCAATTCAAAGGCCCACATGTCATACACCCATCTTTTAGCCAAAAGTTGCCTAAGGTGTGGCCATCAATTTATAAGCCACAAATTTAGCTATGTTTGACATGGAGGTTTGGCAATGTTTGGGAGTGAACCAAACAACCCTTACTGCATCAATATAAAAAAGTCAGGTAAACACGGACAAAGAATTAATGGCGCACGCGTTTCTAGATGTATATAAAACTATTGTCTCAATCTGGAGTACTGTACGTACACTTAATTAATCACTTAACTGAAACTAAGCAAAGAACGTTAATAATGTGAAGCCAAAGTTTCAAGAATCAAGACAAGTTAATATGCGTACTATAATGACAGCGAGCTACTCCCAGGCAGAGCTCCCCAAACCGTTTTTTTTTTTTTACCATCACCTCAGGGGGTTTAACGGTTACTACCACCGGTAGAGAAAACGTTTTTCCTCCCGGTTGGTAACCCCCTATACTCCCGGTTTTGCAACCGGGAGTAGCAATCCGGGACTAAAGATGAGTATCTTTAGTCCCGGGTGAAATAACCGGGACTAAAAATCTATCTTTAGTCCCGGTTGGTGATACCAACCGGGAGTAAAGATGGCAGCGCCAGTCCCGGTTGGCCACTGTTTTTTTTATTATTTTTTCCCAAATCAGTTGGAACTACACAAATCTCTTCCCAAATCAGTTGCTCCCTGTATCCCACAAATCTCTTCCCAAATCAAGTTGCTCCCTATATCCCCAAATCAAAATCAAAGTATCATCACAAACATAAGATTCACATCACAAATTCTCAAGAAAAAATACATCTCAAATTCTAAAAGAAATACATCACAGATTATACATCACATATCCAATGAATCACAAGTTCACAGCTTCTAAAAATTATCAGATCCAATGAATCACAACATCTAAAAATTCTCAGATCCATCACAAATTCTTAAAAAAAAATCGAGGCCGCCAACGCGGCCACGCCGCCGCCCGCCGCCCGCCAGCGCGGCCACGCCACCGCCCGCCCATCCGCCGCCACCAGCCCGTCCTCCGCGTGGCCGCCGACTACAGCTGCCCTCCCATCCGCCGCCGCCCGCCCGCCCTCCGCACGCCCTGCTGCGCCAGCCGCAGCCGCCCGGACTCAGCCGCCTGGAGAGGAGGAGGCGGGGAGGGGTAGGAGAGGTGAAGGGGGAGGAAGAAGGGAGATGACTGAGATGGAGAGAGGAGAGGGTGTGTTAATTTAATGCATGAGAGGGGAGAGGAAGGGGGAGGGGATAAGATCGATGACGACGCCTGTCGACCGAGACAGTGGCGCGCGGCTCAAGGTGAAGTTTAGTCCCGGTTGGTATAAACAACCGGGACTAAAAATCTAGTCCCGGTTGTTTATACCAACCGGGACTAAAGATAATTGGGGCCCTAACTCGTCCCGATATTTTGTTGAACCGGGACTAAAAATGATCTTTAGTCCCGGTTGGTAACCGGGACTAAAGATCAAAATTTTGTTACCAACTGGGACTAAAGATTAAAATTTTTTTAACCGGGACTAAAAATGATCTTTAGTCCCGGTTCCTATTCGAACCGGGACTATTGTGGATTTTAGGCGACCGACCAAAAATGGTTTCTCCAGTAGTGTACGCGGTTATCGAAAAAACTGTACGGTTACCACGAGATATACCGTGATTTTAAAAACTGATAAGGTTACTATACGTGATAACTAGTGGTAATCGCACGGTTTTATAAATCATGTCTCAGGCTCCTATATTGATAGCAGTTAATATATAACTGAAAATCATCATAATACAATTAGCTAAAAGTTGTTATTTTGTATTATGAGCTAGCTTGTAGAACTTAATTATTTGTCTGTGTAAGAGTCATATGGATCATTAATTATGTAACTTTCTTAAGAGAAGCTAATTCAATTCCCACTTAGAAAAATGATCAGCACGTACATGTAAAGTTGTCTGCAAGCAGTCTTTATAAATATTTTGTTAGCACTTGATGAGTGATGGATATTCAACAACGACATGCATTTTTGTATTTAGATATATATTTGCTAAAATAATTGGCCGAGCCTCTACAGTGCGGTACCAAAAATTATTTAACTGAGGTTTCTCGATCAGGTCTTTGTTAATACCGAAATAAAAATATGTTTTTTTATCTTGCCACTTGCTCTAAAAATCAATTAATTTTCACAATTATTATGGGACAATATTCCCATGAGAGATTGCACATCACATTTCAATTATTTTTACACATCAGGTGTCTGGCCGCGCGGTCAAATTAATTAGTATGGCCGAGTGTGGTTTATTCGGGTACAATTCAATCTGGGTGAATTGATTTAACTTTTCTGCCAACAAATAGCAAAAGGTTATTAGTCATACTAATTTTCACCCAAAAAAAGACTAATCATAAATTACCGCCATGTACTGTGCTATTTAGTCGTGCTTAATTTAATTCTTAGGATTGATTTTGATCAGCTTCGGAATTAATGTGGGGGTTTTCTTTGTTGTATGGAGTATATGTATAGGGTTGAAGGGTCCTATATATATACAATGTATTGTGGCATGCTACTTATATATATA